GGAATTTTTCTTTTTTAATAAAAAAAAAAAAAGATCTAGAAACTCGTTAATGAATAGATGCTGATGACTAAAAACGTAGAAATTCCATGTCACTCAATGAAATGTAGAAAACAATTACATCGAGTATAATTAATTCTGTTGCGATCTATAATATTTCATACAAACATGTATATTAAGCGAGTGCACGTGAAATGTTACTTTCGTGCGAAGAAAATTTCAATCACACGTACGTATGTACAGTTTTTCAAAGGGATGTTTGAAAAATGATTGTTTAAATAATGTATTTATTATTTAATTTTTTTTTCTCATTTATACATTCATTTAATCTCGATGTTGCCCCGAAGTAATCCTGCGTTACTTTGAAAGGGCAAATGATTTTTCTTCGAATTTTTAAAGAATTCTTTATTTTACTTTTTATTTTATCTCTATTTTTATCGTGTGAACTTTGTCGACTCGTATAAAAAGTTCTTTGCAAGTGATTTATCTGACTCGAACGCAACGTGAAATTATTTTTCCTGCATTGTTCTCAAAATAGGAAACAATATTTAATTGTCGAAAATGATTCGTTACATTTCTCCTCACATCTTGAATATAGAATCTTCTTGGTGAAGGAGGTTCGTTTTCTCGTCTGGATTAAATGAATTCAAATGAATTATTTGCACACGAACTATTCAATTTTCATTTCAACTAACTTTATATGACACACTAATACTCCGAAATAAAAGAGTTTTAGGTCTTTCATTCAGATTAAAAAAAAAAAAAAATATTTTTGAAAAGCAACAGTGAAGAGGGGAAGATTAGAAATCACCGTTTTATATGTTGTACATGACATTTAATCGGGGCTAACTACTAGCCTCATTACATCCTAAAATGACAGTTTCATTATTCCAGATTAATTAGAATTTCGTACTTAAAACATAAAAGAAACTTCGGATGCAGTAAGTTTTGGTCAAAGTCGAATTAACAGTGAAATACAGTTACACAGTCCCTTTAACACACACACATACACATACAAATTGCAGACATAACGTAAAGGAAGCCGATGTATTATTAAACACAAGGAGCATTAGATATTTAGAAGTAGAGAGTTCAAAGTTTAAACTAGAGTAAACTAATTTAATATACTGGAGGATATCACCAACATACCAAATTGTCGCGTAAAATATGAATTTCCCGGAAATTGCACGCGATTGAATCATTTGCAAAAATAGTATTTCGTAAAGATTGAAACATTGATTTCATCCGTTAATAGGTATTATAAAATGCAATGATTTATCAGGCCCGCATTCTGATCCCCATCTCGAGATTCAATAAAGGAGTGCATGCCACAGAGATTATCGGGGATATCAACAAAGTTCATGGCAAGAACGTAGTTAAAATAAGGAAACCCTTTCTCGATATTGGCTCTCGAGATCCCGAAATGGGAATCCAAGGCTCAAGAGAACGCTGTCTGAACGCTCTGCAGGATTCGATAACGAAGTTCCACAGCCGCTAATTGAAACACATTCATCGCCGATGCGCGAAGAAACTGCCAGGAAGTCGAGCGAGCTCCTCTAGCCGCAACAGTTTCCCTCGGACTTCAGAAGAAAAATCTGGCGGAATCCGAGAAAAGCGAGGATGCTGACTTCAGAAAATTATTTCCAGAATCGATGCAATCTTGTTACAATATGAAAGAAGTTTAACTGGCTCTGAAATAGCCGAGACGAAATCGGCGAAACGATCTTTCTCTCTGAAAATGTACAAACGCGAGAGAAACTGATCACGACTAATACTGAATGTTGTGAATGGAGTTTGCGTTCAATTTGTCAACCGAACTGGCAAATTGAAATAAACATTTTTCTTCGTTGGTATGTAGTAACAACGGATTACGTAAAATCTTTAAATACTGCGACGTGTAATGCAATTATTAATTTGAAATTTCGATACCGAAAGATTAGATACCGAGAATTAAATCAACAGAAAGTATATATATATATATAT